TATATGAAAATACAAAATAAACTCTATGTATATAAGAATACAAAATAACTCAGTGGGAGTTTCTCTAACCAACAACCATCACTATGAGCTATGTGATAATACGACATCGCTCACGCTGCCAGAACTATCTTATACCTTGCCGGGGTATAGAACCTCTTAATTAAGTGGATCCACTAGTCTATGCTAAAAAGCATTAAGGAATCATCTAAAAAGTATGACACTTTCTAACAACGTTGGTTACATGGTTTATGGGGGTTGTAAATTGTCTAAACTCTCCCCCATATCGGTGCTCAATACTACTCCCAAAATATAACTAGCTTATATGTTTAAAAACATAACTTTCTCTATGGTTTGATATAATTATTCAAAAATTTATCTCTTAAAAGAGATGATACTCAAACTGCTCAAAACTCTTTTGGAAATCTCAGTTTCCTCTCATCTTAAATGTGAAAATAATTACTCTTGGGAATACTTCGTTCCCATATAAATCATTTTAAAGAAAATAAACTCTGCTATGCTCTTTCTCAAAAAAAAAACATTTAAAAATCATATTATAATATGATCATTGATGACTCGGGAAGTCATACTGCATAAACATTGATGGTATATCTAGATACCATACTGCTCATGCATTGATGGGATACTCAATTGTCACACTAATCGTGTATTAGAAAACTCTTTTCTCAAAACTCATCTTTATTTTCTTAAATCTCAATTTAATAACTCAAGTGTTGGCTTTAAAAAAAAGCTTTTTAAAATTTATAACTCAAATCACAGGGTACATGTGGAATTATGAACATGAACGACTCAACTTAGGGATCTTAATAGAAATAAGGAACCTCAGTACTCAGAACTCAAGACTCAACGATACTACTCATCTCTAGACTGCACAACTCATAAGGTTCATGCAGAATTATGGGCATGAACAACTCAACTCAAGGACTTCATAGGTAACATATAATAGTCTTATGATTAGGAATATAATCTCAAAGTGATTTGAAACTCAATACTCAAGACTTAGTACTTGAAGATACTACTCCTCTCAAAGATACTCAACTTATGAAGTTCATGCGGAATTTATGGGCATGAACGACTCGACTCGAGGGTCTCCATAACAATATGAAACTCATGTATACGACTCTTCTTATTCTCATACTTACTTCCTCAAAACTTAGCCCAAATTGACAGTTGATCTCAAAGGATTCACAATTGAACTTTAAGACTT